TCATGGGAGATTTTTTTAGACACAGCGATCCAAACTTTCAGGAATGTGATCAAACATCTGTAAAAACTCTCAGGAGGGAGAACTAACTCTTGTTCTCGCTAAAGTTTAAAGGAGTGGTTTACTTGGGGATATACCAGTGCACCATTTCTCAGACCTAAAAGCAGCTGAGCTTCAGAAGGCGTTGTTTTAGAATCTTATTCCCTGATATTTGGGCCTCTCGCTTTGGATAACAGCTACACGACTCTACCAGTGACGTGCAACATGGATGTTTTATTTCCACAAATAGCACAACGCTGGAGGAGCTTCTGCCGTGTGGTGGAGTAGCTAATGCTAATGGTTAGCTTAAACTAGCCGAGATGCTGTTTCTACTTCGCCATCCTCTCAGTTAGCCAGGTGATCCCTGCTTTTGACGAATTTTTCAAACAGGAAGTGTGGATGGAGTAAGACTCCACGTCCCACTGGGGGAGACCCCTAGGAAGACCTTTGTGACCCAAACATGAATAAATAGAAATAAATCGCTGGCTGGGTGGAAACTTAGTAAATGCTAGCTAAAACTATGACAGCTTATGGTTTAATAAATAAATAAATAAAAACGCTAAGCTAAATAACCAACCTAATAAACATGCCCGTACCTTTTTATAAGGCTCCTGATGGTATTTTAAGAAGAAAGGAAAGGCAGAGAAATGTTTATAAGGACCAGAACTACATTTTTTTCTTCTATTTCTCTAAAAACACATTAAATTAAATTCAAGTTTATTTATAAAGCGCCAAATCACGACAAGAGTCGTCTCAAGGCACGTCACATAGTAAACATTCCAAAACAGGTCAGTTCATTAAGCCAATCAGAGAAAAAGTTTCCTATATAAGGAACCCAGCAAATTGCATCAAGTCACTGACTAGTGTCAGTGATTTCACAGCAATCCTCATACCAAGCAAGCATTTAGCGACAGTGGAGAGGAAAACTCCCTTTTAACAGGAAGAAACCTCCAGAGGATTCTGGCTCAGTATAAGCAGCCATCCACCACGACTCACTGGGGACGGAGAAAACAGAGCAGACACATCTAGGGACAAATGCTGCAAATTTGCTATTGCTAAAAACATTAGCGCTTTGGGCTTCCTGACAGGGTTGCGGAAGGCGCTTTATAAATAAAGCTTTGATTGATTGATTGATTGATTGATTGATTGATTGATTGATTGATTGATTGATTGATTATGCTATGAATATGGGCCTGCCTATGTTTTTGTAATATCACGTTGTTGGTAATGGAAAAAGTAGCTTGAGTAGCTTAGTTCATCATTAGCATTGTTCGCTCAACATTATCCTGCTTCACTCGATATTAGAGTAAAACATAAAGATGCCGTGGCTTCTTAGGGGTACAAGTAATAACTTCTGAGTCGCTCCTGTTTTCTGGCTTTTGTTCTTTAAACAACTCTGGAGCTGTTTGCCTGCCTGTGTTGAAATACAAACGCTGGTGCTGTTAGCTCTGTGCAGACACAGCAACCTCACTAACTCACCAAGTGTAAAATGTAACTATGTTCCTCTTCTGCCTTTTTGAAAAGGGAACAACTGACGACGCCCCCAGCAGGCTGTTTTGTGATTATTTCACTGCATAATTCTTGCATATTGCTCCTTTAAAATTATCACACTTGAGTTGATTATTTTTATATAGTCAGTTTTATCCTGAGCAGCTTTTGTTCCACTTTCATACTAATTTCATCACCTGATGGTTAAATAGTTCAACGTTGCATATAAAGCAGAACCCAACTCTGCTCGCCATCCATCAGCCTTTTGTGCTGTGATAGAATCTTATACTCTCCACCATATTATACAGATGGAACAGATACAGCAACACATAAACTGCAGCTAGCTCAGACCAAAAGGGCCCCATGTGCAGAATGAAACATCAGTCGCAATTACGTCTTTGTGTCATTCTCATTTATCCTTCTTTGTACCCCTCGTGCCCACCCCCATCCTTCCATCCCACTCCCCCCTCCTTGATCTCATCCACCACCAGGCAAAGTAAGAGCCTCTCTATCATGACCCAAATGAGAGAGGCTCATTTGTAGCTCTATTTATTTGTAATAAACTGTCCTCATCATCTCCTCCCTCTCTTTTCTTTACTGCAGAAGTGAGGGGTTGGGGGGGGGGGGGGGGTCGTCTGACTCATTGGATGGTTGTTTTTAATCCACGGACATTGTCCATTATCAGCTGAAACCAAAATGAATGGTTAAAGGGACATTTTCTCCTATGTGATCTCAGTTTTTTTTGTCTTTTTCCACCTCCCATCCTTAATCCCCTGTCGATTTTTTGGATTTTTTTTTTTTACCCAACCACCTCCCTCCACTGTCGGCAGATGGATGTGTTTCCCCTGCAGCAGCAAATAAGCCAGGGATGAAGAAGCCATATTTAAATGGGAGCTTCTCACGTACTTACAGTTCTCTCACAAACACAGACACTACCTTGCCACCTGAGTGAGACAAAGAGTTCTGGCTGAGCCTTCCCCATTTCCCTTCCCATTATCTGTTTTCTAAAACTCAATAATTGAACTTTTCCATTGGAATACATCATCTGGCCCCATGAAAGCACCACTGAATAAACTTCTCTCTCTGGCTTTTGTGTTTGAGCATGCATCTCGTTTTTTTCTTCTCACCTCTACCCCTCCTTCCACCCCTCCCTCCCTCAGCAGACACACTGTATTTGTCCAGCCACAAGTAATGACAGCAATTTGCTGCCATTTGGTGTCCTATAAGAGGCCTGTGCCTACTGATGGCTGCATTATTATGGTTTTAAGACGCGGGTTACTATTATCATGCTATAAATCTGCTATAAGCCTGTGTCCAAATGTACATTAGAGCAACCCTGAGAACCCGAGGATGTAGACACTGACGATAAAATACAGGGATTAATGGCAAGTAGGTGGATGATTTACTTTGTGTCACACCTCTTCTAGGTAGAAACTTTTAAATATAATATATGGTATGGGACAACTTTTGGCCAAATAGTTGTTGGTGTGTTGGTTTAGCGTCATTCATGTCCAATTTTGTTTTACTTTCCACGTCAACAGAAGGTGTAGTACTCTTCTACTTCTTTCAACCTGAGTATGAAGTGAAAAGTTTGAGAAATATATTCGAGTTGCATCCATCATAAATCCTGACACAATTTAGTCCAAATCAGTCTTTTTTATTTATTTTTTTCATACTTGGTTGCTAACTTCTTCCAAAGTTGTTCCGTTTCTTACATCACAGAAACTAAATGACTGATCGGAGTGTTGCTAATCATTTCTTTAAATGTGTTTTAGGTCCACCTATAATTTATGTTGCTGTAGATGAATACAGACATGATGTGTAATGTAGCATTCCTAAAAGTCTGTCATTTCTGACCTGCTTTCCTTGACTTAGTAATGTTGTCGTGGCCGAGGAAAAGCTACACATCATAAGCTTAGACACATCACTTTACATAATGTTCCAACCATTCCCAGCGTTGGTAATACATAAACGTTGGTCATGGTAATGCTAACTGCAGGATAATGCTACCCCAAGTTACTGCTGATGCTAGCCCAAGCTACTGCTAACACTAGTCCAATCTACTGCTAATACTAGCCTGAGCTACAGCTAATGCTAGCCTAAGCTATTATAATTGCTAGCCTGAGCTACAGCTAATGCTAGCCTAAGCTACTGCAAATATTAGTCCGATCTGTTGCTAATGGTAGCCCAAACTATTGATAACATTAGTTCAATCTACTAATGCTAGCCCAAGCTACTGCTAACACTAACTCAATGTTGGTCCTACTGATAACACTATTCTGATCTATTGCTAATAATAGCCCAAGCTACTGCTTATGCTAGTCCGATCTACTGCTAATGGTAGCCCAAACTACTACTGTTAGTCCAATCTACTAACACTAACCCAAGCTACTGCTAACACTAGTTCAATGTTGATCATAACACTATTCTGATCTATTGCTAATAATAGCCTAAGTTACTGCTTATGCTAGTCTGATCTACTGCTAACGGTAACCCAAACTACTGATAACGTTAGTCCAGTCTACTAATGCTAGCCCAAGCTACTGCTAACACTAGCTCAATGTTGGTCCTACTGATAACACTATTCTGATCTATTGCTAATAATAGCCTAAGCTACTGCTTATGCTAGTCCGATCTACTGCCAATGTTGCGATTGAAGGAAATTTGAATATCTAAATGTCAAAATGATTGTAACAAATGTATCCTATTTAACTTTTCATAATTTATCCCATAACAACTTTTTAGGGACTGTTAACACTGAAGGTTGAGTAAAGACTGTGCTTTGAATGATTGATTTGCAGATGAAAATAAAAATAATATAAAATACCCTCACCCTATCTCTCGCTCATTTTCTCTTTTGTAATTTAATCAAATCATATAACTACAAGGAGTGTGAGTGGAAATTGCCATTTTTATTAATAATAAAATCAGTATTTTTTTTTCAAATAAAAAGTGTTTATTGATATTTGATTAGTTTTTTTATTAGATGAGTTGTAATGAACAGCTGATTGCCTGGAGCTTGATGGATGTGAAGGATTTGTTAGTACCCCCTTTTAGAAAAAGGTCTGGATGATGGGATTTGTTTAGATTGCTTCAAATGTCCATTTCAAGTGATTATTTTAAGTAGTCCAACTCTCAAATCTTTGGAAGTAGAAACAAAAATTGGCTGTTTTTGATGATATTCAAAACATGATTGTTCTTTGGTGTTTTTGGTTTCATTTTACAACACAAAACGTTGGTTCACCCTACACACAGTATAAACTTTCCAGAGTTGGAAGCAGCTTCTTTAGAGGGATTTCTCTGTGATGTGAGTCACACTGAACTTGCTTATTTTTATCTGATGCTCCAGAAGTAGGACACCTCTAGTAGATGTGGTTTGCAGTACTTTTTAAAGGCCTGTCATTTGTTTACAGTAATGGAATCGTTCTCTCTCTCCAGCGTTAATCAGACTTATCTGTTTTTCTTTTTTCTTTTAGGTCACACGTGTTCCAGTGGAGAGTTGTGAGCAGTACCCTTCCTGTGGAGATTGTCTGGGATCAGGAGACCCTCACTGTGGCTGGTGTGTACTGCATAATGTGTAAGTGATTTTATTAGTCATTGCAATGTGTGCAGTCAGTCATTTTTAGTGGCTGTTTTGAGTGCAGCAGAATTTTATTTGTCCCATTTAAGTCCATTATAGCCACATAACATAGACCTGTTAGCTTTTACACGTGTCATTTACAAGCCGCCCCCTTATTTAAAGGCATTTCTATCCTACACATCTTATTTGTAAATAAATAAAAACTTACTTGGAGGCCTTTTTTCAATTTTTAATTATTACATCTAATAAAAATGTGAATATGTTTGACAATTATGCTTGTTTTTAATAGTTTGCTGCATTTCCTTTTTAAAAATGTGGCACCAAATACTTTTTTCATGTTTTTAAATGATTTCCTTAAGCCACAATGTGCTAAAATGACCCTTTACAAGGTTATCGAAATGCCACTCAGACCCCAAACCCCCTTTGTGGCCAGAATGTTACACTTGCAACTTCACCTGTTACACTAGAAAGCTGAGCTTACGTAGCTGGCTCTGCAGTCTGCCTCCAGCACATTTGCTGCATGTTTTAGATCGTGAACACAGATGATTTGTTTCATTTAGTGATCAACTGCTTCTGTAGACACTAATGAAGGCCGGGGAGACATTTCAGCTGTTAGATTAAAATGTTAAAGAGACAAACGCACAGCGAGGAGATGAGTTTCATTTTTGGTTTGACCACAGATAATTAACAATGAACACTAGGGGGTGCTAAAAGCAAGAAAAATTGCTTAGTGCCCATTTAATAAAGTATTGAATGAAGTACTAACAACAGCTTAGCCATATTATGTAATGCAGACCAAGCACTGCCCTGCTAATGCTACATCAGGCTAAACAGTAGCATTGTAAGGTTGAATGCTACACTGTTCACTTAGCTTTAGTACACAAACATAAACACCCTTTTCGTTTCCCTCCTCTTCCACAGTTAGCTTGACGTTTGCAGACTGATATGAAGTCAATGCATGTCGAGTTAGCGTTCATGCTGGGAACTGAGACACGTTCTTATAGATCGACAGCTCCCTTTTGTGGATGCACAACTCTGCTGGTTTTAGGCTCGTGTAAATGATTCCTTTTGCTGTAGAGGTCAGGGGATGGACTTAGAAGAAATATAAACTATAGAAGATATAGTCAGCTTCATGCATTTTTACAAGTACATACCTCAGCTTTATCCACCTACCTCATAAATATCCATTATTTTTAGAAATAGATATTTTGGTTGATTTGAAACTCATCGACTACTGTAAGAAACACACATCTAGTGTTAATATCACTGATAATGCAGGTTTCTTCTTTCTAATGCCACAAAGCTATTAAAAAAGTGCTGAATTGGTTGCCATGTCACTATTAAACCTGACATGTCCCAGTATTGCTGTGTTGAGCGTTTTAAATGCAGGTTATATTCATAAGCAATTTTTGTTCTAATTACCCTGCATTTCTGCATGCAATAGTAATCATTTGTTTTCTGCCGGAAACTCAGAAATTATAATTGTTAGTAGGAAAAAATGTGTGTGTGTGTGTGTGTGTGTGTGTGTGTGTGGGGGGGGGGGGGGGTACTACTGATACGTAAGGGAAATCTGGAGCTGAGACACACAAAGGTCAATAAAATTAAACAAAAACTGGGTACAGATGGGATCGTTGTGCATTTAAGCACATAAGAGCTTATTATTGAAGGGTTTATTACAATGGCTTGTTTTCTTTGTAGATGTTCGAGGAGGGATCGCTGTGAACGAGCAGAGGAGCCTCAGCGTTTCACCACCCGAGTGGAGCAGTGCGTCCATCTTTCTGTCCATCCAGAGACGATCTCTGTTACCATGTCGGAAGTTCAGGTAGTTGTCAAATCCGTCTATACCCGTCTTCAACTTGTATTTGTTTTTATTACATGAACAAGAAAAAGAAACGTTGACACATGAAGTGATTTCAAATGGTTTTAAGTAAAGCTTGTAGACATGTCATCCCAAGCAATCATACTGAGTCCTGGAAGTGTGTTGTGAGCCACAAATCTGAGCGGTGTTTCTCCGCAACAGGGCACCAGTAATGAAATATATTGATTTAAATTTCTGCTCCGCCTCATCTTTCTGCTTTCTGTCTTTCTTCGTAGTTGGTGCTTCAGGCGCAGAACGTGCCGAGTCTGTCTGCAGGAGTGAACTGCTCCTTCGAGGACTACGTGGAGACGGAGGCGCGCATCTACAGCGGACGGATATTCTGCCTGTCTCCCACTACAAAAGACATCGCTCCCATCACGCGAGACCAAGGTTGGCGCACAAACCGGAAGTTACAACAATTACATCTGTTGAAGATTTTTGATATTAATGATATATTTGTGCTGAAGAATGTGGTCCAGGAAGGGATCAGTGGAACAACTGCTTCCCTTTTTTGAAACTGGGGGTGCGCACCTTATTTATGATGTGAGGTTTCTGATCGGAACAGTGAAATCTACGAGTTGTGCCACTCATTTAATCGGACTCATTTAGTTAATCGGCATCTGTTTTAAATTTACACATAAACTTACAAAATGTGAAAAACCAATACTGTTAGATCCTAGACAACCATATTCACCTTTGATTTGGTTCTGTCCAATTTTACTCGCATACTATGCTGTTAGCTTGCTAGCAGTATTTATTCAAAGAAATGACAAATTCAAAAAGTAAGTTACGTACAACAAAGATGCTCTTGTTGCAAATCAGTTAAATGGCATGCATCATCGTGATAGCAACATATTTACAGTGGATTATAAGCCCCAACATGTTACTCTTACGGTCATCAACCTTAAGCCCAAACAGGTTATGTGCACCCCAAAAAACCAAATCCAAATCTAACCTTCAAGAAAAATTTTCTAAACTCCAAAATTTAACTTTAGATGTAAAGTGGAGGCCTGCATGTTGGCAAAGGTGGAAAGAGGAGTTAAAGTACCTATGCAAGGCTTGAATAACCTAAAAATCTAGACCAACCATTTCAAAATGATTCACAATTTTGCTCTGCTATACATTTGTTGGCACTAGAGCTGTGATGGACAACGACTACAAATATGGCGTCTTTTCAGGAACAACGCTCATCTGAAATGGCTTTGACATTAGCTTTGGACAATTTAGACTTGGGCTTTTCTTTAAGACACGAGCAGATAGAGCTACTTTATTTAATTTATTTATTTTATTCACCGACAGGCTGCCCCATTTCCAACATGTTCAGCCGCTTATCCAGAGTCAGGTCTTGGGGGCAGCAACCTAAGCAGAGAGACGTACAAATGTGAATGTACAAAAAAGGTTCAGAGACGTCCCTCTCACCGGCTACTTGGGCCAGCTCCTCCAGGGGAACCCCAAGGCGTTCCCTGACCAGTCGAGATACAGACCCTCCAGCGTGTCCTGGGTCTTCCTTTAGATCTCCGCCCAGTTGGACGTGCCTGAAAAACCTCACCAGGAAGGCATCCAGGAGGTATCCTGACCAGAAGAAGAAAGAAGAAGAAAATATCATTTCTGTAGCGCCTCACAAAAACAAAAAAATGTAAAAATATAAAAAAGAATTTAGAAAATGGTTAAAAATATATTTCAAATGAGCAAAAAAATAGACAATTGTGATGAAAAAATGTTATGAAAGACAGAGAGTGACTAGGAAAGAGGGAAATCAGTGGATCCTGAGGAAGGTTGAATAGGTAGGGAGAGCAGAGCGAGGAGAGGGTGATGAAGGTCCCACCAAAAGCCAGCTTGAACAGGTGGGTCTTTAGCTGTTATTTAAAGGAGACCATTGAGTCCACTGATCTCAGGCTCAGGGGGAGAGAGTTCCAGAGTCTGGGGGCCACAGCAGCAAATGTTCTGTCACCTTTGGTCTTTAGCCTGGTGCTGCACAACCAGTAGGCTTTGATCACTTTGTAGTGATCACTTTGATCACAGACGTCCGAGCCACCTCAATTGGCTCCTCTCGATGTGGAGGAGCAGCGGGTCTACTCCGAGCCCCTCCAGGATGACCAAGCGCCTCACCCTATCTCTAAGGGAGAGCCACCCTGCAGAGAAAACTAATTTTGGCTGTTTGTTTCCGAAATCTTGTTCTTTCGGTCGCTACCCAAAGCTCGTGACCATAGGTGAGGGTAGGAACGTACTGTAGATTGACCGGTAAATCAAGAGCTTCGCATTCTGGCTCAGCTCTCTCTTCACCACGACAGACCTGTACAATGCCTGCAGACACACCAATCCCACGCTCCATTTTTTCTCTCACTCGTGAACAAGACCCTGAAATACTTAAACTCCTCCATTTGAGGCAGGACCTCATCCCTGACCCGGAGAAGGCATTCTACCCTTTTTCCGATTCAAGACCAAGACTGATTTCTGTAGCAATACATGTGTCATGGTGTTTTTTGCTCTGACCCGCCCTAGAGCCGTCCAACTGCGTGCAGAGACAACTGTACATTTAGCCCATGACTGGGTTGTTTCAGTGGCTCTTGGCCAGACTATATATTTATTTATATAGGATAGGTTACCAGACTAAGGCGTAAATTCTAGCTGAATAAATGTATGCACCTGCGTCCAACCATGTTTATCCATAAATACTGAATGTGTTAAATATGTTTTATCACATTTCTAACGTACTGATTTTACACCACATTTTTTTGTACTCAGCTTCACATTGTGTAGTTTACTGTATGCATGCAGTTCAAAGCCAACCTGCCTGTGCCATACTAGGTTATAAGATCATTCTTGATTTTTGCATACAAACAATCTCAATGATCCATAGTCACACAACTTTTAATATTTGATTGAAAAAATCTTTTTTTGACTTGGTCTTCATTTGATTGCAGGTTTTTAATGTTTCATCCAGATTAATGCTGGAACGTAAACTGCTGCATAATAAATTACCCGTATACAGCATTTATATAGAATTATCTTACTAGACTCATATTTTGAGATGCTAAAGTAAGAATCTGCTGGTTTGTCACATATGTGTATTTATAGCTATACTGGCTACCAAACCTGTTCAAAGCTGTGCCTGATGTCTGTCATCGCTCTGTTCCACTGTATGTGTGAGATAATTCTAAATAATCTTTGACACATGATGTCGTTTTGTCTCCTTTTTAGGTGACCAGCGTGTAATCACTTTATATCTGAAGTCTAAAGAAACGGGGAAGAAGTTTGCCAGCGTTTTGTTTGTCTTCTACAACTGCAGTGTCCACCAATCGTAAGTTTTCTCCTACGTATGAAGCAGTGGTCAACGGTGAAAAATCTTTTTTTTTTTTTTGGGGGGGGGGGGGTCCTCCTTATTGGTTGATTATGAGTATTAAAATAAAAAAAACTACAATTCCAACATAACCATTATTTCCCCTCCTCCATATAAGCAGTTACATATAAAGTTAACTTTCAAATTTAGTTATTTTTTTTTTACATTTTATCTTCATTTTTTCCAGCCTGGGTTTTCAGTCTCCAACAGCCTGTGTCTCAATCATCTGCTGAAAGCTGCGTACCTCAAAGGGCCATACTCTGCTTGGCCAGTAGGTGGCACTAACACGACTTAGAAATTGAATTTGATATCCTGTTTAAACCACATAATCCACTAAAATGAGTACGAATAAACACATTTTATGCCAGCAGCTATGCATTCTGTTATAAACCTACAGTGAATCTGTGAGAACGAGGAAGTGACGTCAAGGGTGAAAAAGAGATCCAGCACCTTCTAGCATGCTAGCTAGTTGTTTTCTGCAGCACGGGCGCTGGCCGACAGCGCCCCAGAGGCATTCAAGTCACGCATACTGATTGGCTTTAAGTTTTCGAGTTCTCCCTAGCAACCAAATGTGATTCGCTGTTTAGCTGCACTTTTCCCAACAGCCCAGGAATGAAACTAATGAGTTTGGTGGAGGAAATTCACTGTTTAATGAGACAGCTGGTGAAAATGATGAGTAAATAATTCAAATTGCATGCAGGCCCACACAATTAGGCAAAACCTTATAAACACACTTATAATAAATGTGAATATATGTTATAGTTTTATTTACGTTTTTTTTTCCTCTTTCAAGTCAGGGAGGGTCAGGTGGCACCCCAGTGTCCCCTATGGACGAGCGGCCAACAGTGTGAAGGGATAAATAAGCAAAAATCTAAGTAGATGCTATGTTTTAAACTGTTCTCTGGCCATTTGAAACATCTATCAATAGGTTCAAGATTGTAGAAGCAATGACCCACCCAAGTGAGGTTGTGCTTTTTAAATATTGGCAAGTAAATAACTGTTTAATGGAGAACGGTGAAAGAAAAGTGTGTAACCTTTTGCTTATTTAGTATTCTGTGTTCACACTTTTACCAAATCAATTAGTTAATTACATCGCAGGCAATGAAGTGACCATTGGTGAGTGAAATAATAAATCGATTCTTATCCTTGCAAGACCTGCAAGAGCAGCCAAGCTTAGGAGGCTAAAACACATCATTCATGATTCTTGGAAAGGATTTATCTGTTGTTTAAGTAGGAATACAGATTTACTTTTTAGCTCTAGTTTGAACATTTCTTGTGTTTCTGTTGCCTGAGTCTGTTATTGAACGGAGAGGAATGGTCAAATAGATAACTTTAATCTAATTTGTTCTGATCAATTGAAATAGTTGGTAATGGTGATTCAAAATTAAATAGAAATGTTTAATTTTTGCCAGGAAATGGTTCCGTCTGTTCTACATGGAGGGGTGAAACTTTAAACCTAGCCATTAGGGGGTGTTCCATTTTTTATTTGGCTTTCAGTCCTGTGTTGTGTTCTATGTAGCGTTTATGCTTACAGTTGGGGTCAGTCTCAAAAATGTGAGCTGCAGTGTACTCCCTCTGGGTTTCCAGCTGGGCCCTGGTACAGCAAAAACAGGTCATTGTGGGGGGAAAAAACGATGCAGTTCTTTTTAAGTCTCACCTGATTTGTATTATTTTTAAAGACCAAGTTCACTGAGAAACCATCCATCCATCTTCCGAACCCGCTTAGTCCACGTAACTGGGGGGGGGGGCTGGTGCCTATCTCCAGCAGTCAACGGGCAATCAGACGGGGTACACCCTGGACAGAGAGCCAGTCCATCGCAGGGCAACACAGAGACACAGGACAAACAACCATGCACACACAACCTAACAGTCATGTTTTTGGACTGTGGGAGGAAGCCGGAGCACCCGGAGAGAACCCACGCATGCACAGGGAGAACATGCAAACTTCATGCAGAAAGATCCCAGGCTGGGAAGCGAACCCAGGACCTTCTTGCTGCAAGGCAACAGCTCTAACCACTGCGCAGCCCTCACTGAGAAACCATTTTTACTTTTTTTTAAATATATAATCGGCCACTCTGAATTTAACATGCAGGCTGAAAGTGAAAACAATCTTCTGCACCTAGTTCCTTACAAATTAGAACGCTTGAATTAGAAAAGCCAGTCAGATCCATGTTACAATCTAAATTAGCTCATATTGGCTCACAACAGAGAAGGCTGTTGTTGATTTAGCATCCAGGAAACCGCAGAGAACATCTTGGCTAGTAGAAGGCAACCATTAGCATTAGCAGCTCTGCCACACAGCAGAACTCCTTCAGGCTTGTGTTAATTGTGCAGATAAAAGCTACTGTCATGGTCACCCTTTAACCCTCCTTTGTGGGTTAAGTAGACTTTCACTGAGCGATCAATCTGCAGCTATTATCTCTGATGCTGTTTGTTGAAAGATTTGTCTTTTCTGTTTACAGAGAAATGATCTTAAAACGGCACCAAACTAGAGAAGTAAAAAACAGATGTCATTTTAATGTATTCATGACTTGCTTTCCTCTGAGTTGACTGATGCTATCTTTTTCACTTTGCCATCTTCTAGCACCCCCTTTTTGTTTTTCCTAACAGCTTAGGGTGAAAGAGTCACCCTTCTTGCAGTAATCCAGCCTTTAATTATGCATCCAGAGAAAATGACTATTTTCTTGCATATCACTCAGCCTGATTTTCATCCTCACAAAACAAGAAGGAACAGGTTGGAGGAAGGTGGTGAGATAAACCAAATAATGACCGAAGAATGTGAAAGGTTAAATAAAAAGTCACTGTCCTAATGACTGTTGGCTCCCTCGGTGAGGGTGGCTCGGGCTTCTAGTTAGGATGCCTCTTGGACGCTCCCTGGTGAGGTTTTCCAGGCACGTCCAACCGGGAGAAGACCTAAAGGAAAACCCAGGACACGCTGGAGAGACTATGTCTCCCGGCTGGCCTGGGAACGCCTCGGGATTCCCCTGAAGGAGCTGGCCCAGGTGGCTGGGGAGAGGGAAGTCTGGGTCTCCCTGCTTAGGCTGCTGCCCCCGCAACCCGACTCTGGATAAGCAGCTGAAAATGGATGGATGGATGGATGAAAATGAATAAAATGCCATTGTCTTACTGATTGTTGGCTTCCTCAGCGAAGTCACTGAGTGTGATTCAGTACTGTGAGGTTTGTGTGTGTGTATATTGGGGAGCCCATCATCCCTATGGGGGAGCCGGGCTCCCCCATGGTTCGAGTATGTGTTTTTCATTCTTGTGTCTCTATTCTCCCTTCTACTTGCTTCTCATCTCCGTCCCCTGGTTCTATCCCTCCACAGACCTCTCCACCTCCTCCTCCACCTTGCTTTCTTTCCATCTACCCTCTCGTTGATCAAGCCCATTTATTGGCTGCCCTCCACTCTTTCCCCTGCATATATCAGCATAGTAATAAGCAGTTAATTATCTGTAGTCATGGTGCCAGTGTGGAGATGGTCATAATGGAGTGGCCTCACCTGGGCCACTTCTCGGGGCCTCTGCTCTTCTTTGGTGTTTAGAATCTGTTTTATTGAGTTAAAAACCGTTTAATTTTGATTTTACTGACTAGATTTACTACAAAAAAAGAGTATGTTGGTATTTATTTATACATTTTTATTTAAATGTCGGACATATATACTCATTTTTATGTGGGTGTGTGTTTTATGCTGCCCACATATGCAGCCCTTCCTCCTTCCCTGCGTAAATAGACACGTCGCCGTTTAATCCTTTCATGTTGGCTTTGCTTGCACCCTTAGGAGTCGGTGGGATCATCAAACTCCAGTGCAGTTATTCCAGCAGCAGCTATAACGCAAACCCACATTTTACTCACCATTCCCTTTCCGCCGTCACCTTTCACCTTTAAATCTTTGACCCAGCTTGTGCACGGGAGCCAAAGCAGCATTCGGCAGGTGATAATGGAGTTATCCTCGTGGGTGTGGTGGGCGGTTAAATGCATATCAGACTGAGAAACACACGGACATACAATGTCAGCACAGATGCAAAAGCAGAACAGCCGGAAGGCAAGCATCCAGACGGGCTCGTGCACAGCTTCACACAGCCTCACACAGCATGCTGGAAGGTGTGTGCACCACCAGCATCACCAGCCGTACCGACACTTTAAGCACAACGCACAAACAGGTGCTTGCACAGTTAGAGGGGGCGCACAGAGACAGAAGGCAACAGACTTGGCACAGTAAATTATGCTGAGAGCTATTTACATACGCTTTTACAATATTAGAAATTTGCATTAAAAAAGAGATTTGGAATAGTTTAATTGAGCATGCGGGAGGAGGAATAATGCATCTTTAAAGAGCGGGATTGAAACACACAGGAGGTAAAGCGCTGGAGGGAAAAGTGGAGCGTTGAAGAAAACTCACATTCACAGAGTCCCAGAGAGGCTTGGAGAGGGAAAGAGAGATATAACGCAGTGTTAGCAAACAAGACGGAGAATGGTGCCAGGAATAATGCGTCCCACACAGCTAAAAGGTTAGCGCCCCAGCGTCGGTCCTCCATGACCATTACAATATGAAAGGCTTGAAGTCCATGCAGTGAAAAGAGGTACTCAGTGAAAGGGACCGGCCTACACTCCAACATTCAACAACTGCTTTCATTTTTAGGGCTTAACACCCCCCCCCCCCCCCCCCCCCCCACACACACACACACACACACACACACGCAACCTTGATCCCCTGATGACGTTTGGACACGAAAACCTTTTTTAGATTTGTCCTGTTTTCTGTGTGACTCTGTGACTTTTACTTCAGATTTGCTGCAATAATCTCGGTTCCACCTTTCAGTGAACTGGATCTCATTTAATTAAACTGAGAGTTCAGAATCAGAGATTTACTGCTTTTGGACATTGCCATGACAAGATCCAATAATATCTGATAATGAGTCTGAGCTCCGCTGCTGAGAATCTACACGCCTTTGTTCTGCTGTGTAGCCTAATGATGAATGTATCATTTTATAGCTGCTTACTTCATAGCTTTGCTGGATTAAACAAAGAGGCGTTTTTGTAGATCAGGCTGAAATCCGGTCTCCTACGTTCTAAGCGCTATGAACAAAGAGACGGGCAGTGCTGCGAGAGATATTTTGTCCGAGGTTTTAATTAGACTCGCCAAAAGACGGCAGTGGTTTCACAAACTGATAAAGTCATTAAAACTTTAAGCCTCGAGCCTCAAATTGATTCAGTGGTCTTTTTTTTCTATGCCAACACATGCTTGCATGTTTTGATTGGCGTCAGATTCCAGGCTAACCTTCTAATTAAAGATGAATTGCAGCTGAATGTGTGACTTCATCAACGCTGACCAGAATTAATTGAGGATGTGATCACTCACTCCCTCCTTATATGCTTGTGCCGGCGCCTTTGCTCGCATATGATCGGCTTTGTTCCATCGATCCAGCCTCACAAGAACAAAAGCCGGAGAAGATGAAAAGGCGTTTGACCCGGCTCTGTGGCTGGGCCTTGCTAAATAGCGGGAGATTTTATCGACTGCGTTGCAGCAGCGCAGCCACTTACCCCAAGCCAGTTGCCCAGGCATTGACATCTCTACTGTAAGACAAGTCTCCACTGTCCAGGTGACCCAGAGGAAGGTTTCCCTGCCAACGTGTGTGACACCTTGAGTGTATGCGTTTGTCTCAGTCGTCAGAGTGTGTGTTTATGTAGTCATGAGCGTGCATACCGTGCCTGTGAATGTGCATGCGTGCATCCTTGCAACAAGAAATCAATAAACCCCAGGGTTAATAGCGAGGAGGAACTGACTCACAAGCTCTTCTAACAAACATTGGACTGTTAGCATAACCTCGGACCACCCTTCTCCCCGTGGAAATCCACTGACATTGATTATAAGCCTCAGTCTGCAGTTCAGTCTAGTCTCACTAGCTTATCTCTGACTCTGTAAAGCCTCTGCCATCAGTTCGTCACTCCAGTGCAAGCAAATTAGGAGTTAGCCATCCAAAATCTGAATAAACCAAGGACAGACACGAAGACGGTGCAAGGATTAGATTGAAATTCAATTTGATTTTGGTCTGTCAGGCAGGCTGGCTAAGCAATTGTCCTCCAGTTTGGAGGGCTGGAGTTTAGACCCCCGCTGTGACTCATTACACTGAAGTTTTCACACTAGCCTTGTCAGTCAAACAGTGAACATGGTGATATGTTTCATTTTCCTTGAACTCTACTGCAAAAAAGATTTGCAATGTAGTACAAGAGCTACACGACGGATTAGATTCAGACAGAATGATCCAAATGGCAGGACACATCTGAGTGTTCTCTTTGGGGGGTCAGTGTCTTGCTCAAAGATACTTTGACTTTTGGTAGTGAGAGCTGGGATCAAACTACCAAACTTCAGATTAGCAAACTTTTCCCTCTGATCCGTTGCTACCTTTAGCAATTTCATCAAATATGAAAATAATGCAGTGATTTACACAGAATACCAGTTATACCATGCCTTTTATCACGTATGCGGGTACCATAGGTCTGACTTGTTGACCCAGAGAATGCACACGGGAAAACACTAACGGTAAATCTCCGTCATGTTTCAGCAGATTGCAGTATGGGAGAGCACAGAAGGGAGCAGCTGCAGCTAGCGCCGGCTCCAGCTCCAGCAATGATGCATTCAGGGACGCTCAGAAATACGGCGGTTTATTCGGACAGGAATTTGAGTTTTCCATTTGCTGATGGCAAAAGTTAGAAAGAAACAGGAAAATATCCAGTTGGCTTTCGTTTGCCCAGTCAGAGATCATTTAATTTACTGCAACAATCACCCACGAGGTGCCACCTTTGCCAGCTCTAAAACTCAACTACCAATCCCCTTGCTGCATGGACGTGGAAGAGCAGTGACCTGGTGTGAAGTAATCTTTGTGACTTTGAATGCCAGCGCCCGGCCAAAGCTAAATTAAAGATATGGCGTCTTTAACAAAGTGTGCATGTTGGGTGATTGTATTTCCCGTTAAATGACTGAAGATTACAAAGGAGTTCCCTTGTTTTTCCATGTGGGTGTCAGGTGATGGACAGAAAGCAGGATTTAGACATTTAGTCTAGCACTGATGAGAAAGCACTTGGAAATTTTAGATCAGACTTTAAAACAACTTTTTCCTGTATCAGGAACTCCAGGATTGCGGTCTGTAAACATGTGATATCACGAAGGAAAAAGGCCGCCTGGACTGACCCCTCCATCGTTCTGCTAGCCATGCTAGCCTCGTCGTTGCCTTGTAATCCCTGATTGAGTGTATATACAGTATATGTATATTTTTATATTCTTTCAGCCTCCTCAACTCTGAATGAATAAAAATGGTTAAAAGAAAAAAGCTGTTATATAAAACCAGGCTTATCTTGGTCTGCCAGCTTAGTTTTCTCTAAGCCTCCAAGCATGGAGCATATGAGGAGGAAGGAGTGTGGCTTTGACTCTGGCTGCTCTCCCTCTCAGCAGTTTTCAGCAGCCACCTCGGCCTCGCTGACAGCAGAAATAAAATCTTAATGCAAGAGGCCGTAGTAACACTTGTCATTCCAACATAGAGATTTAGCTATGAACATTTGATGTTGTGCAACTGTGTTGATGCATGTCTCTGCTCAAGCTGTCAGTCTGATTTCCCCCCCGAGTAGGAGGTTTCCTTTTGATCTGTTTCTCGTTCGTCTTAATTTCATTGACAACAGTTTTCCCTCAGCACATTGTGCATGATCTAAAAGAATTCAGGTAGTTGGAGCAGTTTCCTTCAAAGTAAATACAATTTACCTTCCCGCTCGCCCGTGGTTTAACCTTGCACATTCATAGCTACTGAAGAAGATTAGGGCCACTGAAATGAAAAGAACAATAAGTCTGGCTTTAATCTCAGAATTCTGACTTTTTGACTTCTGGGAAAAGTCAGAATTCAGAGATTAAAATCCAAATTTGGAGATTAAAGTCAGAATTTGTTTTCTTTTCAGTGACCCACATCCTGTTCCATACTTTGCTTAACTGCAAAGGGTTATTCTTTGTTTTGATGCATGAATCATGGATCATGAGTACATTTTCAACTCTGAGACTAAACATGAACTTGCTGTGCACAATCCTTGGATGAGGTTTGGACAGCATTACATTCTTGTCTGATCTGGCCTTTAAACGCCAACACTGTGACCCCTAACCTCCTCTTTCCCTTTTGTGCTTCTAGGTGCCTGTCCTGTGTTAACGCCAACTTCCCCTGCCACTGGTGCAAGTATCGTCACATGTGCACACAAGATGCCAGCGACTGCTCCTTCCAGGAGGGACGAGTCAACACTTCACAGGTGAGTGAGCATGCTCACGAACGAACGTAAAAAGTGGTTTTAGGATGCAAATGAAAAAAAAAAAAAAGATTTAGAAACACAGCTGTATAAAGTAACATGGGAACATGTTTACGAGGATTAATGCCCAGCTCAAACACACATGTGAGTGTGTATGGCCGCCTAGGAACCCAAGGCTGCAGCTGGGTCCTGCACAGCGTCTGACTGGATGAATGGGAGTATGAATGAGAGCTGCAGTGAGTGACCCACAGCAGCTGTTGCACTCTAAGGAGCTCTAGATTTATTCACTTATAAACAAGTTGGGGTGAATGAGTATGCAAATGGAAGTGTGTGCTATCGACCCAAATGTTATATTTGCATGAAAACCCTCATCCTCCCATGAGCTGGCTCCCTTTTATATACCCTCTGTCTTTGTACGACTCTAATTCTCCCTGGCTTATGCACAGATGCTTACACACACCCAGACCAGAAAAATACAAATGTTGGTGTCCTTCATGGGCTGTCTTCACAATTAAAACATATTTTATTATTATTATTATCATTTTTAAGAGTTTAAAAATGTATGTTTTTATGCAAGGGGATAGATTCTCCAGACTCGGGGGTTTTCACTGGTTTGATATTTCCTGCTACGCCCTCTTTCCCTTGGTGTTTTCTCTTTTCAGTCTATTTTTTTCTTCTTTTTGCCACATGGATGCAAACACATTCATGCGTTGAATCTCATTCCCTTCATCTTTCTTTTTAACTAAAATCAGAGACACTGAAAGGCTGCAAAAGGAAGGAATAAAAAACATGCAACTCTGTGTGGGTAGGTGTCTGTGTGCTTTACGAATTGCCTGTTTTTGTGTGTGGTGTGCTTGACCACTAAATTTCTCTTTAGGCATTTCTATTAGGCATCCCAAACAGATGAAAATGCTTTTAGTGCATTTTATTTAATTATTTGTTTTGAGTGTTTGCAAGAGTTAAAGGGACATTATGGAAGTTTGACAGCCAAGACGTGTATAGAAATAATACATTTCTTCTTCATACATTGTCCTGCAATGCTCTGGTCCTGTAGAATGAGCCCTGGCATTTTTACTGTGATTGCCTGTTTTTCTGTAAAATCACAGAAAAAGAGAGATGCTCGGGTCGAGCAGGCTGCTTCACGCGCATTCACGGTCAGGCATAGCCCGTAGCATTTGCTATCCGTAGCTTTAGCAGCAGAGAGAGAGGCAGAGTCACTTTGTCACTGTTCCTAACGCCTAGTGACAAAGCTAGCTACATTTCTGAGGACCCTTAGCTACTTTCTGTAGAACTTTCTTCTAGATATTTCCTGCAAATTAGCAACAAAATAGCCATTTTCGCTTCAAACCGTTCTTCGGTCTGACGTTGTTTCAGCTGTCATCAAGGATATAAAAGTTACAGATACTGTGAATGTTACTAGAGTGTAGCTCACCTTGTAAGATATCTGACTCTCATGCAGAAGACCTGGGTTTGATTCTGGGTGTGAACATAGTTTATTTAGCGTTTCTTTTTTACATTAATGGTATATTTTTTTACAGTGAGATGCCCAAATTTTTATTTGAGACTTGTCGAACGGCATTGAATTCACAGATAAAAAAGATGTGGGTACAAAAAACTATGCAGGAAACTTGCTGGAAGCATACTCCAGCATTAGCATGCAGGCTAGCTACTTTACCATTGACTAACAGAGTGCCTGGTAAATAACATGACAAAGATCCTGAGAGGAGGAGTCATATGACCACAGGGAAAGAGTGTATCGCCTTGGCAAACCCAAATGTAGATCCGGAGCACTGGACTTACTGTACAAGCTGCGAGTGGCTAGCTGACAGGACCAAGTATGGGAGCATCGACCAGCTAGCTCGCTGCTTAGCAGCAGCCGGGGTCCATGCGGCACGCAGAGGATTAGGAGGTGTGTGAGGATAAGGACCTTTGGTAGAGATGATAAAGCATCAATGACTGAGCTTATGTGGGTATCGGGGTGACGAACGGGATATGCCCAACAAACCCAGGGAAAGCTAAAACAAGCACAAACCAAACAAAGTACTTACAAGTGGAAAAGGATGATTGTTTATTTGTCTCCGAGACCGTAATTAGCTCTCGTTATTCAGAAAAGTCTCGATGTTGACACTTGTTTGACTCCTTTTGTGGTCGGAAGTTCTTTTTCTTGTTTTAGCTCCATAAGAAAAAGGTTTGCTTTGCTTATTCTGAGGCTCCGCCCTGATTAAAGCGTTACAACAAATGCTAACCAGGTATAGCTCGTCTGTCCTGAGGTGCAAACGTGGATTGTCGTAACTGGTGGAGCGGTCTGGATACTCTGAAGTTGCAAGTGTGGTGTTCTGGCCACAAGGGGAAGTTGGGGCTGAGACAAATTACCCTGCAAAGGGTCACTTTAGCACATATTGGCTCAAGAAAATCATTTTTAAAATATAAAAAAAATGCATTCGTATTCTTTTAAAAGAAAAAAAAAACAACAAATACGAACAGGACACAAAATCCAGCATCATCTTACTTTAAAAGCCACAGTAATTCACTGTTTTTGTTGTTGTCTTTTTCATCTTTTTCCTGTTGTACCGTCCTTTGAATGCCAATGCTGCCATGGTTACCGAGACTCTTTGAATGTCAGGAGGGGGTTTGTTGAATTTTAATAGACACTCATACTTGTGGCGCGACCACAATCTTTCACAGATTGTTGTTATTGACACAGCAGACAGTGGGGAGACGGCTTCGGGCGTCGCATCCGTGCGTTTGGATGCATCCTTATGTTTTCTCTTTGATTGAATAGGTGCTATTCTGAAGCCACACGTATGCTCGCATCGGCCAACAGCAGTGGTTTTGTCACACATTTATCTCCTCTAGTCTCGATTTTGTTCCAATTTGCCAGTTCGTAGCCCCTGCTGAAGGCAATATTGCCCATCACTGCTGCCTGAAAAAGTTTCCCCCTGTGTCATTAGCAGTCAGTTGCCAAAGTGATTGAATTCACACTACACTGGTTATATTCCCAAAGGCATTTGTCATATTTCTTGAGGCTGACTTCACTTCATATCTGATAAAACTCACAGCATCTGTGAATATGCGGCATTTGTAAACCAAGAAAAAAAAAGAACTTTTTTTTACCACAAGCGTGTAAACAGATGACTAGTTTTGTTTGTTTGTCTGTTTGTTTGTTTTGGGGGGGTGGGGGGTACCTTTTTCCCCTTTTAAGGTAAGTATAATTCTCCACTGTCACTTCCTGTAATTGTAAATATATATAAATTAGCTCTTTTGTGACAGCAGATAAACAGAGAAGCACATTAGGGGCGACCAGGCAGAAAATTGCCAGAGTCGGAGAAACACTCGAGAAGGCCATCAACAGAAAAGCATATAAACACAAACAATGAGAGAAACAAACAGCAGCGCAAACAAACACAAACAAATTTGCTGTGCTCCAGTGAATCCCCGCATTGGGCTGGTGGAGCCGGCTGGGCCGAACCCAGGCCCCGGGGGTGGCTTCAGATGACTTTGTTTAGATTCACGGAAATAGGAGAAAAACTAAGAGAATATTACCAACCAACCAAAAATGTAATAGAAACAGGTTTGTTTGCATTCTATCTTTTTATTTATTTCTGTCTGCCTGCTTATCCTGTTACTGATTGCATTTTGGCTGCTTATTAATTAAGGCATTCATTCATTTTGCATGTTGTAGCTTTTTACTCTGGATATTTCAGGTCTCACAAATGATTTAATGCAGTGTGTGACTGACAGCAGCGACAGAATGTGGCTTCCAAATAACCTCCCTTGATATTTGCACTGAAGGAAAGGGACTTAGCATTGTTTCTTATTTATTTATTTATTTACACATTTGTGTTGTGCTCCCAGCGCCCAAATCCATCATTAGTTGTATTGTGAGCTGCTAGTTATTTATTATAACCTAATATTATTTATTTATTATTTTTATTTTTTGTTGGATACACTGAGACTAAGTTTATAAATAATGCAAGAATCAAAGAGAATATCTTTAAAGGTGTGGAACACTGAAAAATACATTTTAAATAAAATGCCTGATTCTAATAGGTCAGTCTGAGTTTTTCATGCAAGCTGAACATGAAAATAGTCTCCTACACCTACCTCCTGCATTAGTTTCTGATAGGAAACAGACGGAGCAACTCTAGGATTAGAAATTCCTGACAGATCTACGTCACACTGTCACTTAACATTCATGGACTCCATCTTCACTCACAGTGGGGAAGCCTGTTGTTGGTTTAGCGTCCAGGAAACAGAGGACATGTCGGCTAGTAGAAGCTAACTGTTAGCATTAGCAACTCCATCACGCAGCAGAACTCTTCCAGGATTGTGTTATTTGTGGAGATAAACATCAACATTGCAAAGCAAACTGAGTCAGTGGTAGAGTTGCGTTGCTGTTGGCAAATCAGAGGCAAGATGTCCAAATGTCGTCGTCTTCCTCCGCTTATCCGGGTCCGGGTCGTGGGGGCAGCATCCCAACTAGGGAGCTCCAGACCGTCCTCTCCCCGGCCTTCTCCACCAGCTCCTCCGGCAGGACCCCAAGGCATTCCCGGACCAGATTGGAGATGTAACCTCTCCTAAGTGTCCTGGGTCAACCCGGGGGCCTCCTGCCGGCAGGACATGCCCGAAACACCTCCCAGGGAGCGGTCCAGGAGGCATCCTGACCAGATGCCCAAACCACCTCAACTGTCTCCTTTCGATCCGGAGGAGCAGCTGTTCTACTCCAAGTCCCTCCCCAATGTCCGAGCTCCTTACCCTATCTCTAAGGCTGAGCCCAGCCACCCTACGGAGGAAACTCATTTCGGCCGCTTGTATCCGCAATCTCGTTTTTTCAGTCATTACCCAAAGCTCATGACCATAGGTGAGGATTGGGACATAGATCCCAAATCGAGAGCCTGGCTTTATGGCTCAGCTCCCTCTTCACCACGACAGATCGGCTCAGCGTCTGCATCACTGCAGATGCCGAACCAATCCGCCTGTCGATTTCCCAATCCCTCCTACCC